AGAGTATTAGAACTAAATATTCAGCTTTGAAAGAAAATTTTGATCTGCCTCTTTTCCAGGTTTGTTTTCTGCAAATGTAGGAATTGCCAGAATCCCTTTTTTACCACTGGATATTCACTTATTTAAATTCTGATGTGTACCACCAACTGCAAAATTCAAGCAGGGGACATGCAAATGGTGAACTGAAATCTGCAGGTGTGGCTACAATCCAAAATTCATGCCCTGGTCATTTTTCAATGGCTGAGATTGCCACTCACATGTCATATACAAAGGTTTGTTTCTCTGGCTGCAACACAAATGGTGTAATTCATTATAAATATTTGCAATTCATAGTTCTAATAACCTATGGTTTGGAATATCATTCATTGAAAGAACTTAGGAATCATTGTGAATGAGTGGATAGGAGAATTTACAATGAGGACTCTAACATATGGCAAAAATTAGTGCAATAATTAACTGAAATAGGCATTTCTGGATGGCTGTAGCATGTGTTTAGGAGTTCTGTGCACCACGAGACTGAAAGCAAAATGCCATAATAACCTGAAAAATGCTATCTTCCCTTTTAAACATATTGCTTGCATATATTTTGTCATGCATAGATATCTATTCAACACAAAACAACAAACTCAGGCCTTCGTGAATCATAGAACTCTCGTAATGCTCAAGTGGATGGGAACCCAGATCAGCATTGCATGAATTCTTGGACAAAACAAGTTCTGAAATTTTGCCACAGCAAAGAAGATGACTTTGGGTAAAATATGTTTGAGCAATGATCAGAGTAGACAAATTCTGGAACATTTGGGTCAAGGAGGTCACTTTGGTGTATTCCCCGTTTCCTCTCAGAAGTGCACTGTTCAGCACAGTGCAGTGAACTAGTCTTTTCAGGGAAAGCTACAGTGAGTGGTTTATTTACTCATTTTCCATTGTAGAGAGGTCTTCTCAGACAGGGCTGATGCCAATTTTATTTCTCCAAAGTAAAACACAACCTGATTTTCCTTTTAGAGGAGCCAAGAGAAACAAAGTGAAAAAAAAAAGCAGCATGCACCTTGGGGGCTGGAAAT